ACCTCTGCTGTTTTCTGACGTAATACAGAAAAGTCAGAAGCTGCTGTCACTGCTTTGGTCTGCACAGGGGTCGGATAAACTTGATTGGTATTGGGACAGATTTATTTGTTTATGCATTGAGATTAAATTTTATTATTTTTTTTTAAGTATCCCATGTTTTTATGGTATAAAAGTGACTATTCGTGGGCTCCTTGAGCTCTTTGATGGCAGGTGTAGCTACAGAGAAACCTGTTTTCCATCTTGAGCTTGAAGGGGCATGGTCTTATTGCTAGGAAATACAAACCTCAACACTATTTATTTGTTCTCTGAAACTTGGCGTGGATACAGAGAAGCCGATGTTTCAGAAGGCAGCTTTAGACTTGTGAATCCTTTTTGACTTGCTGACTTTCGGTGTTTGGCTTGAGGCCCCAAAGTGTTGTACAGAAAAGCTTTGGTCTGCCTCAAAGTGCCGTTGGCAACTGTAAGTGACTACCTTTTTTTTTTTTTTTTTTTTCTGAAATGCAGCATTTCAAAATTTTTTTAGGTGGGTTAGTTTAGGAATCTTGTCAAAACCACCAGGTGCAGTTCTTTGGCTCTTGTCTATCCTCATTATTGTGATGGCTACATCTGGCTGGTGTGGTACAGAGAAACCAGCCTTGTTTACATGGCCGTCCTGTAATCTGGATAGTTTTTTTTGGTTCAGTTCCCCTTTACCGCTTAGCGGTCGTCCAATCGGACACAGTAAGTGTAAGAGTGCCTTTCTTTCTTTTTCCCTATAGTCTCTCTTGCTTTTCCCTTCTCACAAACTTGCATTCAACTTCCAGAAAAACCAGTAGCTCATACTGTAATGTGCTCCATGCCCAAATTGGGTAGTTTCCAAATGCTCTGTAATAAAACAAACTACTCATCTTAATGGTTGTCTTGTGTACTTTTTGTATGTGGACTGTATTTTCCACATGTGATCCCCAATGGATGTTCTATAGAAGTTCGTTTTTTTTTTTTTTTTTTTTTTTTTTTTTTTTTTTTTTTTTTTTGAATGAAGCTTAACTGGTTAAAACCTGAACTATTGGAGGATTTTTGTGGAAAAATCAATACTCGACCGCATCCCTTTTTTTAATTAAGAGTTCAAGTGAAATTTTGTCATTTTGTGCTTCAGGAAAATGCAGTGTTTTGTTTTTTTTTGTTTTTTCTCTTCCCTACTCAAAAAAACACCCCTGAGGTTCTCTTATAGGTTTGATGGTTCTGATTGGATAGATTGTATTTGAACAGTACTTTTATGTTATGCAGCAAATTCCTAGTTGGACTTTGGTTCTGACTTTAATCGACCACCATATTACAATACATTGGAGTGGACCAGGTGTATACTGTGTGGGGAATCTACAGGTACTTAAGGAAAATATATCATATGCATTTTGACCTTGCATGCGTTAGGGAATCAAGGTTTGTGTTGTGACAACATAAAGGGGTTCAGCAGATATGAAGCACTGTATGTACCTCACCCCTGAAATCTGTTCCTGCAGACTAGTGAAGCATACAGTGCACCAAGCTATTAGTGGTAATAGTGCTCCAGGAAAGACCTCGGAGCCATTAAAACAGGTGTTCATTTCCTCTACTACTCAGTCTAAAATCTATATTTAACTGAATGCTGATGGTTTGGTGGGTGGGACATGCTTCCAGCACCATGAATGGACAAGATCTCTCACAACCACAACAGCACAACTCTGCTGATGAAAGCTGGCAGCTGAAACGCTCTGGTTTCTCAAATGGCTTTAAATGGATGCATTGATGATTCTTCTTCATTCTGGCTGAGTTTAGAAAAAAAAAGATTTGGTGTGGTGAGGCCTTGCAACTAAGTCTGCACCATCCAACCATTAAAGATAACATTTCTGAAGCAGAGATCATGCCTCCTGATAAAGCGCATTCTAAGATGCAATGGAGCAGATCCAGTGTAAAAGGTTCCCTGTCCAGCTGAGGTCAGGGTGGTTTATGCCATGAAAATGGTGGCACCTGATGCAATACATGCTAGTGGTTGCTGCTAATCTGTTGTACTATCTAGTACAATAGATTAGCCATTTAGAGTTTCTTCGTGTTCATTAGGTGCAAAGTACAATAGATTAATTATGACTCAAATGTTGGTTTACACTGGGGTTATGAACCATGTTTTCAGTGGTTTTATGAGTCCAAACTCCTGCCAGTATCAAACATATTTAGTTTATGAAACTCAACCTGAATTATTAAACTATCTCCCTCTCTGTTGTCTACAGAGAAGAGTTGGGAGGTTCTTACTAGTCTCAGTGACGATGCAGAAATTGTGGTTTATAGCACTGGATTGTCATGAGCTTAATTGGAGCTGCTTTCGTATTTTGTTATATTTAAAATCTGCAGGATCTGGGGAAGCCTATAGACCAGATGATTTTTTTTTTTTTTTTTAATGCGTGGTACGACTACACAAAAGAAATTTTACTTGACCTGTGTGTTAAGTATTCTTTTTTTATATCATAACTATACTAATAATCTAAGATCAATAAAAAGTAGGCTATTTCTAATAGAGATATTTTCATTTATGGCTCCTATGCTCATAAGGCTCCACGCAGCCCAGTGGTCCAACAGATGGGTGGGTAAGACACCTAATGATACTTCTGAAGAAGCTGGCTGTTTACAGAGTGATATATCCAAATGTATAATGTGAAAGTTGAGTGGAAGATAAAATGTGTGGTTTAAAAAAAATGCAAAACGGACGATCATATTAATGAAGGTTATTATTCACCTCTTTAGTATAACTCCTTGGTAATCATCTTTATACTTTGTCATATTGGTGCAATGATTAAAGCAAAAGCAGCCAAACCTAAGTGCTGGTTGCTTTAAAAAAAAGTTTTCTTGCATTTCTGTAATAAAAAAACTACAATATTACAATTCATATAATTAAGACCTAGGAAAATCAGTGGTGTCCATTCTCAGTCAGCAGATTCATGGATTAGTTGAGAAACCATGAGAAAATATTAACACTTCAGTGAATTATGTGTGTTTAGACTACTTTAAGTTGAATAAGAATTTAAATGAAAATGTGCAGCTTGTACAAAAAAAGAAAAATGCTTTTCGTAGTGTTTGTTTTCATAACCATTTAATTATTTTAGGTTCTCACTGTTCATCTGACATTTGGGACTATTTCAAGTTATAACAAATGTAAACATTTTTTTATTTTCAAACTTGCGTCTTTCATAACAAGACAAGTTATTTCTTGTCTGTTATGAACCAGTTATTTTTTTCTTACCTGATTAAAAACAGGTGGTGTTTGATTGGGTGATTTATAACCAATTAAGGAGCTGCAAAGGTAGGAATGATTTGGAAACATGTGAATGAGCCCCCTATGGCGTAACCTCACGTGCAGGAGGAGGAATGAAATGGGACCCGAAGAAGGCTGTTGATGATCCAGAGGGGAGTGTGGCGGATACACCAATAGCTTTGCAGAGCTCACATCTCCTGCTATGGCAAGGTTTTACACTGTGGATAACCTGGCAGACTGCATGGGAAGAGGATGAAGTTTTTGCATATTTTCAGGCATTAATGACACAATGAGTTAATCTTCTCCCACAGTCTAAATCAACCCTAGCAGAAAGCGAAATCAGCTTTGTGTTTTTCCACAGCAGGCTGACTGAACTGTGTGCCCTCTTTAGATCCCCTTAACTGGAGTTATTAATTCTCTACTTTACATTTTCCGGGCTACTTTAAGAAGAGTTTTAATATGTATAATCAAAGTGTTTGGTTGACCCACTCAAACCTGTTTAACGTGCAATTTTGTTTAAAGATTTGAGTTTGTGTGAGAAATTGACTGGAGGCAAGTTTTACATTGAAGCCCTGACTGGTTTCAGCTTGTTTAAGTTGATGCCGAGAAAAAGGCGGAAAAGAAAATCTATTTATTTTTGTTTTAACAGGCTAAAAAATGATCATTGCAGAAGATAAATGCTGCATATTTTTATTAAAGGATAAAGTTCACACATAGATTGTACATGTGGACGATAAAACAGATATCTATCTTAACTTTGACCTGAACTTAGAAACTGAATAATGTCATAACATGTTTTGTAATTTGTGCATAGTTCAGCACCTAGGCAAAGATCAATCAATGAATGGATTTATTTCCAATTTTCTTTGAAAGTCAAATTCTGTAAAGCGTGCTTGTTCGGGCAAAACAAGCCTTCAATCATCTTTCCCTGCAGTTACAGCCACGAGTATTTGAGATATCTGTAGCTTCTTTGCACATTTAGAAGCTGAATAAGCTGATTTTTGCCTAATCCTTGTATTACCGGTAGTTCAAGCCCAGATTGGATTAAATGCATCTGAAAAAGGGTTTTCAATTAATTCCTGGAGTTTTGGCTCTAGCTTTTGTCTGGACCAATCTACATGAGCATGCTTTGCTAAACAATTCCTTTGCTGCTCTGTATGAACAGTAGTGTTGATGTTGCCTTTTGTAGCTCTAGCAAGTAATCTTCGTCTCTTGTCCTACTCTTGATGCTTAACTTGTACCATCTTCCTTTAGCTAACATAACAACACCCCCCTCAGCATGTTGCCATGCTTTGCTATGGGGAAACTCTATTACCAGTAGTTGTTTTTATCCAACATAGTGTTAATGTAGGTAGTGTAGGCGAAATCTTTCAGACTCATTTGACCACACCACCTGTTTCAGCTTGCCTTGTCTCCTGCATTTTTAGCTATTTTCAGCCCTGGTCCTCAGGATTCTGTCCTTGATGGTGTAAAGAATTTGCCAATCAACACAAACCTGACTCAAAGTTGGTGACAGAATGGCTACCGCACCTCTTAATGGTAGGCTTATGAGGTAATGCAATTGTTTGAAGTGTACTGGAGCAGAGACAGGATGAAACACAGCTTTTTTTTAAACTGCAAACACAGATTCTGGTTTTATTTATACTGTTCTACAGTAGAACAGCAGTACAATAAATAAGTTACCTTGTCTTTCTTAGGTTGTAGATCTTTGCAGCTGCAGCTCTCCTAGCCCAGCCTGTCAGTTTTAGTATAAGGTCATATCCTCTGTCTTTGTGCCATATGCCCTTAAAGATAACATAGGTGGTGGTGTTTTTTTTTTTTCCAGGAGCCAACACTGGCTTAAACTTTTACCTTATCTTGTCCCTTACTTGTCCGGTGTGTTCTTTTGTCTTTATGGTACTGATCACTAATGTTTCCTTAACTCTGAGGCCTCAGAGCAGCATCATCTAAAGCATGACCTATTCTGAGATTATTACACACAGCACTGTATTTACTAATTGGGTGACTTTTAAAAGTTGTTTAACAATTTTATTATACAAATTTATGCAAGGTAATTTTTCAGGTAAAAAATAAAAATCCCATTTGGTGCTAATTTTATAAAATAATCTCATCAAAAAATGCATTCTTACAGAAAAAAAACACCCAATTAGAGAGCATGGGAATAATAGACAGCAACAAAGAAGCAGGATAAGAGATGATAAAAAAAAAAGACTGTTGCTGCCACCTGCTGTGAATTTCACATACCGGTAAATCGGTTAACACAGCTCATATATTTAGTGAGAGCTAATCTTCTTTCAACGGGACGAAAAGAGATTGATACATACAAAAATCTGAATGGTGATGGATTATGGCTAGTCACTGCAAGGGGAGATCACCAAGACTACAGAAAGAAGCATAAATGCTTCTAAGCTCATCATATACTTTATTAAAAAATAAACTATCATTATATTTACAGTATCAAAAATGATGGCATTTCCACAACTCATAATAAATTATTCAACTAGAATATAAACAACAAAAGTTACCACCTAAACACATTGTGGCCTCATCTATTAAAAAAGATGGATTACTCATCAGAACTGAGAGATCTATCTTGATGCTTCTCTGAAAATACTTTCTTTACCTTCTCTTTGTTTAAAACAAAACAACAAAACTGATAGTTGTAAACAAATAGGACATGTTGATTTGATTTACATGTACCCTATGGAGTGATGAGTGTTGCTCCTTGACCTTTTTTAACCAACATACAGCTCGTCCTCTGGTCACCTCTGCCAACAGAGACTGTAAATGACAGCAGGGCCCTCGTTGTGCACAAACCACACAAAGGTAGGAGCACATATGTGAGATTGCAACAGCTTTGTCTTCATAGCATCGGCTGTTGTAGAACCCTCATCATCGGTTGTCTCGTCTTTTTTCAATTTCCTTTCGAATTCGAACCTCTAGAGCAGCTCTCATGGCTGCGTTTAGAACGTTCTTTTCTGCAACACGCTCCACAACCTTCTCAGGCTTGTCGTCCTGTCAAAAGAAAGTACAGAAAATTATTGAAACCAAGACAGAGATCAAAGAGACACAACGTCAGAAAGAAAAAGGAGCATGCATTTACCTTGTGCACTAAGAAGGAAGTAATAACTCCTGTGTCCTCTTGATAGTCAAGCCAAAAAAGTTCTGTCCCGTGGCTTTCAGTCTCAGTGCTTGAACCACTCTCATTCCACTCTTCAGGATCAGCACCTGTTCCTGGCTCTGAACCACCTGGAAAATAATAACAAAAACAAAATCAGCAATGCCATGTTGAAAAACAAAACAACAACAAAAAAAGTCAAATACAGAGCCCTGTAAAACAAAACCAAAATTAACTTACGTCTTTGTCTAGGATGGTACACCTGGATGTCAGGTCGACGAGGTCTTCTAGGGGTGGTTGTGTGCCTTCGCCGCTGAAGTTCTTTAGCCTGCTTTACCTCTTTATCATAATCATCTCTTATGACAAAAAGAAAAACATTGTTAGCTTGCATCACTGATTGATGCAGCAGACAACATGGTTCTCTAAATCATCTAGAGGAAAGTTCCCTGGATCTCAAGCAAAGTGATTTCTGTGCAAAGTGAACTTTCTTTTAAAGGTGGGGCATCGTATCTTTTCGTAAGAGTCAAGTCTTATTTCCTTTATCCCAGATAGCATGCCTCTGATGTTGTCTTTGTTTCTGCCAATGTCCTGGATAGGTCTGAGAGATAAAGGCCCTTGAAGCTCTGAGTCCAGCTGCAGTTTACACCTTATGGATCTCCCTAAACTCTTGAATGGGCAATCCTCTCCAAAGGGTTTCCATTCTGGTTACCTGTCTATTTCTAACTTCCACACTTTGACCTTGCATTAGTACACCAGGCTACATCTTCCACAAATATTATTCAATGCAGTAATATGTGGGTTTAAACTTCCCTATAATTATTTTCTAGTACAGGGCTTATCATTTCCATATTATATGTGCATGTTATTAATCCTATGCAATTAACTTACTTTCAGAAAAAAAACACATAGTTTTGGGTTTCGAAATTAAAAATTATTATCCAAAATTTAACTTAAATAAGCACTTGGAATGAGTTCCTGTGTTTATTAATCTACAAAACACCAGTTTCATTTTTAAAGCATACATTAAACAAGTTTTCCAGTTTATTAAAACACACATCTTTCAAAACCAGTAAGAAATACTATCTCATCCCAACAAGTTTAAAACCTTTGGCCAGAAACCTACCGACAGGCCAAAAAGGCCTATACGGGCTTTTGCTGTTTTATTCTTATCAATGTTTAGTTTTAATCACAGACCAAGAACTGATATATCCTCTTTCGGATCTTTTTAATTGCTAATTTAAGAAAAATACATCCAGTGGCCCTAAAAGTATCTATCAAGTAGCATTAGCTGACAGTGCCAGAGGATATTACCTAGCAATCTGGTTTCTGCGGATATGGTGAAGGAAGCCATGAGTCATGTCCAGCCGACCACCCGGTTTGTATTTTAACTCGTGCACTGCCTCGTCTTTTAAAATATCCATTTTACTAAATAGTTTAAACTCAGATTACAATATTTATGATTAATTATCACAAGAAATTTCAATCAAGCTCTGACAAAAGCTAAGTGTGCTAGCTGTCCATAAATTGTTGTCCAATTTCACAGTTTCCGGAGTTAATAAAAATGGAAACGCATATTAACATGAAAGAGACTGAGAAAATCATAAATATCATTAACAATTATAAGCACAGCAATACATTAGTGATGTAAGTAATAAAATAGGTTTGGTACTCTTACCAGATCATAGTTTAACTTAAACAGAAATATTTATTTTAACACCGGGTTAGGTTTTTGTTAGCCCTTCCTGGCAGCTGCGACGCACAACCACCGCGAGTTTCGATGTGCTGAAACCATTCATGTATCATAACTAATTTAACTTTTCCCAGTTGGTTGGTTTGATATTAAGGCAGCAGGAAAATTTATTAAAAATATGTCTTTGAAGAGAGAGAGAGAGGATCAGGTGGACGACGATGATAGCGAAGACGAGGGTTAGTTTGTTTACTTCTAACGTCGCTGTAACGTTTGTTAGCTAGCGGCTATAAATGACTGCCAAACGTTTCTAAAATAGTTTATTTATAGACATGAACTGGATTAATATTACGATGTAATTGTAACATTTTAAATTTTTTATATAAACTGCTTTAAAAGGTCACTTTGCTATAGTTTTGCTATGGGAGTCAGAGGCTATTTCATGTAGCACGTTTAGCTAGCTGAGATGTAGCTGAATGAATGTTTAGAAACTTCAATTGATTATTTGTGATGGACCCTTTATTTATTTATTTTTTTATTTTTTCAGTTTCAACCAAAAGAGGACGAGGACGTGTAGAAGAAGACCGTAGAAGCCGCCATTGCCCTTATCTGGACACCATAAACAGGCAAAACTGCGTTAAGTTGTCATAATGGAGCTACCCGCTATGTGCTAATTGGATCCATCCTTAGGTAATTCTGTTTGCCCTCTTCTTATCCTACAGGAGTTTGCTGGATTTTGACTTTGAGAAACTCTGCTCCATCTCCCTCTCACATATAAACGTCTATGCGTGCCTTGTATGTGGGAAATACTTTCAGGGTAAGTAACACTCACTGGACATTACCTGGAGGGATAAAACACATGGTAGCAGGTGAACTAAAAGTAATGTTTTTCCTTGTAGGCAGAGGTCAGAAGTCCCATGCATATACCCACAGCGTTCAGTTCAGCCATCATGTGTTCCTCAACCTCCATACACTGAAGTTTTACTGTCTGCCAGATAACTATGAGATCATCGACTCCTCGCTAGAGGACATCACAGTGAGTGGGGCTGTGCTGTATTTTCATAAAGAATATTTTTTAACCATATTTTGAAATAATACAACTGCTCACCAGTTACATTTGTTTAATTGATACGTGAAATTGTGTAATTGATGGCTGTATTTCAGTGCATTTCAGTTAATACATACACTATCGGTCAAAATAGTCTGCATCGGCTTTTGAAAAAAATCAACACTGGTTGATCTATATATTTAAAACTGTAATAATTACAATTTCATCCCTAATACAGCTCTTTGAAATCCAAATTCTGTATCTAAATAACACTTATGGATAGTTGTGGTATGGATGCATTGATATAAAAAAGGAGTAATAAAGAAACATTGGTTTTATCACAAAACTGTTATCAAAATACCAACTGCGATATTGCAATTTTAAGTTTACCTTATGTATCCAATAATCCCTAGAAACCTATTGTGGTATTAAGTCAATTAAACTTGTCTTTTCTCACTGCTTTCCTACCTTCTCTAGTATGTGCTAAAGCCAACCTTCACTAAGAAGCACATTGCAGGACTGGATAAGCATGGTAAACTGTACAGAGCCTATGACGGCACGACCTACCTGCCAGGCATCGTGGGGCTCAATAACATCAAAGCTAACGACTATGCCAATGCAGTGTTACAGGTATTAAGGTGCTATTCTCTAGAATTGTGGAAACAGTGGGGAATAATATAAAATCATATTAACAGATCATGTTTATCTTTTCAGGCTTTTTCTAATATCCCACCTTTGCGAAACTACTTCCTGGAGGAGGAAAACTACAAAGGAATCCGCAGACCACCAGGGGACATCATGTTCCTCCTGGTTCAGAGGTTTGGGGAGCTGATGCGCAAACTTTGGAACCCCAGAAACTTCAAGGCCCACGTGTCTCCACATGAGATGCTGCAGGCCGTGGTGCTGTGCAGCAAGAAGACCTTTCAAATTACGAAGCAGGGTAGGTTGATAGTGCTCTAGCTTTTATTATCCATAAGACAAGGATAATGTTGTTTTGCTGCTATTTATTATTTTTTTTTGTGTTCAGGTGATGCTGTAGACTTTATGACATGGTTCTTGAATGCTCTGCATGGGGCTCTTGGAGGCACCAAGAAAAAGCCATGTGAGTAGAAGATTATTGGAACCTCATTGATAAACAGAAATAAGGTTCTACTGGAACTCATATAAAATGATAGAGAAAAGATTTAAATTCATTAACGTTAAATTGACTTTGGTCTTTTTACAGAATGTGTGTATTAATTTGACTTTTTTCCTTTGATCTTTGTTATCACAGCAATCATCACAAAGGTTTTTCAAGGCTCCATGAGAATCTTCTCTAAGAAACTTCCACACCCAGATTTGGTGAGTTTGGAGCACTAGTTGATTTTTTATTTATTTATTTTTTTTGAGTATTTAATTTGAATTTTTTTAATTTAACAGTAAATTTGGCTTCCAGGATTTAATTTTTCAAGTAAAATAAAGTTGCAAATCTCTCATATTTTCCAGTTAGTATTAGTAAAGGTTTTTGTGGGGAAAAAAAAGAAAAAAGTCAACTATGCAATCCAGGTTAATAAGGGAGATTGTTGGTAATTCACTCAGTTGGCATTTTATTATCCTTCTTTGCAAAGAGAGAACAAGATTATCATAGGAGCCCTTCCAGCTGGTTAGACAAAAGTTCCTCTTGCTAACTTGGCCTGGGAATGTTATCAGAGCACAGTTTATAAAAACAATTACAGACAGTTGGAGAAAACAGTAAACTGTTTTGAATAAATCCTGAGAAAAAGTCTAGCTTGTTATGAGAAGGATAACTTTTATCCCAAACACTCCCTAATAGGATAAACAAATCATCTCCCTTAGACACCTTGTAGCTTTGCAGCTCTGAGGCCTGAATGAATTATTTTATAGGTAAGTAAATGTAGAATCAACACTCAAATCGATTGAAGTAAAAGGAATAAAACAGGAGATTTTTTATTTTTTCCCACCACAGACTTTAATGAGCCAAAACATTTTAACATTTGCTCTGATAAATAAAAATCAATAGAGCATGCTCATTGTACAAAACAAGAGATTAACAAGATCACATCTATTTATAATTATTAAAATAAGAATTATGTGATGACCATGATTAACCCTTTGGGGTTTGGGATGGGAATTTTATTTATTTATATATATATATATATATATATATATATATATATATATATATATATATTTTTTTTTTTTTGTTATAAGCCTAGTGAACCGCTAGGTGTTGGAGTGTTAATTAGAAATGCATCGTGAACATTACTTTCATGCATTGGTTGAATTAAAATTTAACTGATTGATAAGGTGTTTGGCTTTTGCAAGGAAGATTTTCATTTTACATGTAAACGTTAAAAGATTAAAGAATGATAACTTCAGATACCAGTCAAACTCATTTAAAACATCAGATACAAATATGGATCCCAGCAATTGAAGATGAAAAAATCCCTAAACAAAATGAAAGTATTCACAAAGTAATTACTTAAAGTGTCTTGAATCTTTATTAATTCTCAATCTAAAGTCTGCTTAAAATATTTCCTTTGCGTTTCTGAAAACTTTTCAGCCACCTGAGGAAAAGGAGGCGCTACTTCAGACGGAGGAGTACCAGGAGCAGATGTCCGAGTCCTCCTTCCTGTTTCTGACCCTGGACCTCCCAACAGCTCCTCTGTACAAGGATGAAAAGGAGCAGCTTATTATCCCTCAGGTCCCTCTTTTCAACATCCTGGGCAAATTCAATGGCAATACTGAAAAGGTACAGGACATTATGCCAAAAGTTGTCCTTTTCACTACTGCATATTAAAAGTATGTTATATGGTCCAAATACCAGAAACTGAAATATTAAAAATGTAACTAACATTTTCCACTTTCCATTCAGGAATACAAAACCTACAAAGAGAATTTCCTTAAAAGGTTCCAGCTGACCAAGCTGCCACCTTATCTCATCTTTTGCATTAAAAGATTCACCAAGAACAACTTCTTTGTGGAGAAAAACCCAACAATTGTCAACTTCCCAATCACGTATGTATAAAAAAACTGGTCAAAACCCTTTTAATATGTTGACATATTTTTCCTCTGCAGAGTAAATGTTGCCTTTTTATGTTTCCTTAGAAACGTAGACCTTTCAGAGTACCTCACGGAAGAAGCTCAAGCTACAGAGAAGAATACTTCTTATGACCTTGTTGCCAACATTGTGCATGATGGGAAACCCACTGAAGGATCCTACAGGATACATGTCCTGCATCATGTAAGTTGATGCCATTTACCTTCAGAAAAAGAAAAAAAAAACATTTTATGTAAGTTGTTCCTTGCCCTTTTTAAAATGTTAATGTTTATAGGTGGAGATTTATGTTTTTAGATGAGTTGAAGCCCCCTGTCAAATAGGAGGCTTTTCATGATGTTCAGACATGTTTTAACCAAAGTGTCCTGAGAATTGGACACAGTTTATTCTATTCCCAAAACTGAAAAGAATTGTTTAGAATGTGAAAGATGGACAAAGACCTGCTGCGGATGTTGTTGAGCTGAGCACAACAGAAACAAACAGTAGTTTTTCTGTACGAAGGTAGCAAGCAAATCTCAATTTTTGTCATGGTTAGATTGTTTGCTTAATAAACCTACCGTATTTTCACGACCATAAGGCGCACCGTACTAAAAGGAGCACTCTCAGTTATGTGTCCCATTTCTGTATTTAACACACACATAAGGCGCACCGGACTATAGGGCGCGTTGTTTATATACAGGTACATGTCCTCTACTACCTTTAAATACCTCTACTGCGTATTTAAAAATACAGCGGGGGCAAAACTGAGTATGACTGTGCTTTATTCATGTCTTATTACAAAGTATTAATCAAACTTTGCAGCTGGCCGTGAGACAGACACATCGCAGATGACACAGCGCTGTGGTCACTCCTAAATGAACTTAAAATCCTGAAACCTGCCGACGGAATATGTTCGCTTTTATTACCGGTATCCTTGTGCCTGCAGTTTAAATTATTTAGATGAAAAACACCTGCCAGCCGCCGCGGTGAGGCTGCTGTTGAAGGGATTTACTGTCGGCGCACCGCTGGTATGTGGGGGTCTGAGCGCCTCCGACAGAAATAGATAATCTGGATGAACTGACTGCAATTATTAAGTTTTCAGGTGGACTTTCTCACTTAAAAACATATTAAAACTACTTTATTCCCACTGATCACAGCAAATATAGCTGCAAGATTTAGATTATTTAGATGAAAAAACACCTGCCAGCCACCGCGGTTATGAGGAGGAGACCCGCCCAGAGGCTGCTGTTGAATTAAGTTTTCAGGTAGAAAACTAGAGCGGGAGCAAAACTGAGTATGTTTGTGCTTTATTCATGTATTTATTAGAAAGTATTAATCAAACCCATCGAAGTCATCATCCTCTGTTTCTGAATTAAACAGCTGCGCTAAATCAGACATGCCAATTTCCCCTTCTTCGCCGTCAGTCACTTTCCGTGCAGCGCGGCTCCTCAGAAGTAATGCCTGCTTTTGCGAAAGCTTGAACAACAGAGCCAGCAGACACGTTAGTCCATCTACAATCCATCCGCAAACGGTGGCGTAACTTGCCCGGCGCTGCCTTCCACTTATCCTGAAACTGTGGTCTCCGTCTGTCATCCATCGCTCCCACGCCGCTCGCAGCCTTACTTTGAACGGCCGCTTCACACCGATGTCGAGCGGTTGAAGTTCCTTTGTCAGACCCTCCGGGATAACGGCGAGCACAGCGCTCATTTGATTCACCTTTTTTTTTCACATCAGCTGTGAGATGGGCACGCATGGAGTCACAGATTAACTGCGATGGTGATGCGTGGAAAAAAAACACCTGGTCTCCTCACATAGGCTACACCTGCCTCAGCCACGCTTTCATCATCTCCTCATCTATCCAGCCTTTTTCATTTAATATCATATGTCATCAGAGCGCTGTGTCTGTCTCGCTGTCAGCTCCCAGATCAGCTTCTCTGATTGGTTGATGCGGCGCGTCCAGCAGCAAAACCTAAATTTTTCCATCTCCAGCAGCAGCAGCGCGTTGGCGGTGCCTCAGATGCTTAAACGATCCCGACGTGCTGCACCTGCTGCTCAAAACGCGCTGCAGGACCTTTTGCTGCGCCTTTACGCGCGTCAACCATTGACTTTGCATGTAAACTCGCTGCTTCTGCTGCACCTGCTGGGTCCGGTTCACACCGATGTCGAGCGGTTGAACAGCGAGCACAGGGTTAATTTGTTTCCCCATGTTTTTCACATCAGCTGTGAGATGGGCACGCATGGAGTCACAGATTAATGGTGATGGTGATGAGTGGAAAAAAAACACCTGGTCTCCTTACATTCAGCCACTCTTTCGTCATCTCCTCAATGAGGTGGTCTCAAAAGTCGCAGTTACAACACACATAGGGCGCACCGCACCATAGGGCGCACCGCACATTTTGAGGGGAAAAAAAGACGTTTAAGTGCGCCTTATAGTCGTGAAAATACGGTATACATCATAATTCTTGTTTTTACAAGTCTGCATCCTGGATAATCATTAATAAAAGTAAAATATCAATTTAGAATGATTTCCACTCTTTCTTTAGTAACTCTGCTTTTGGAACAGTGTGTTTGGCTAAAGTTAAAACAAAAAAAGCCTTAAAGTCCCTAAAGTATTCTGCAGAAGGAAAAGGGTGTATGTCTGTTAAAATGTATGATTTGAAACCATAAGATTTCATCGTCTTTGAAGCAACATTGTAACTATTAGCCCAATTATGAGCTTAATTTGAGATATACGGTAGTAAAGGATGTTTCAGCCCCTAGTGCCTGAAAATGAAAGTGTTTAACTTTACTTTAAAACTCTGTTTTTGTACAGTTTCTATATGATTTTTGATTTTACTCAAATGAACAAGTCACTCAGTTCTGATAAACTAAAATAATCTATAATCAAAATATTTTTTCATGACTATTTGTTTATTCACTGTGTTTAAACAGGGAACAGGGAAGTGGTATGAAATGCAAGATCTGCAGGTAATCGACATTCTCCCTCAGATGATCACTTTGTCAGAGGCCTACATCCAGGTCAGTCTGCCTCATTTGTCTGTTAATTGTGTTTTGAAAATGGTAATGGTTATATCCAGCAGCTTATAGCAATTCATATTTATGTTATTTATATTCATTCATAAACATCATTATCTGATTTTGTAAAAAATGTACTCAAACATAGACACTATTATCTGCTGTATGACTGGATAACGTCTGCAGAGTTACTGAACCGAAATAAGAAAAATGCATTAAATGAATGAAATTACCATTATTATTATTATAATTTTTTTACAAGAGCAAGTAACACATGTTACAAGCAGATTATTAAAACTTATCTCTCAACTAATAAAAAAAAAAAAGGTTACCTTAAATTAAGACTCGTGGCGACACTCCTTCAGATCCATTTCTCTCAAGTCCGAGGAAGGAGGGGTAGATTTCTGTCAGCCAGCTGATCAGCGGTGTGCAGCATCGTTACATTTGCCTATTCCTCTTACAGCTGTAGCAGCCTGTGGCACTTTGCATGTCGTCTTGTTAACTACCAAAACCTAGAATACATTAGTTAAAGATTGCCTAACAGATATATAGTATGAGGGAACATTAAAGCAATTTTGAACCATTGTTATGTCTTGATATCCACTATGATCCTGTGTCTGTTTCAGACAAAACCCAAAACTACCATCAGACTATTACAGTCCACTGTTATCTTGCAATTATTAAAAATTTTACCCAGTATAATTATCGGTAATTTTTTTTTATCTAGAGTTGTTTTACAACTTCCTACTCTGTGCCCTAATACAAGTAAGTTTTCCTTTAGGTTTACCTGGGAAAGAATCCAAATGTGTTGGAAACTGTATGTCTATTAATTATATTAAGTGTGAAGATAGTTATAGGGAGAGGTCTTAAAGGGGGCTTTTCTGAACTGGGAAATTCAGTAATGTCAATTTAATCTCCTCTGGCTCTTTTTAATCTAGACATTTTACCGTTTTAATGGTTGTTGGCAGTAGTACAAAGTACCTTTAGGTGGGGTAGACCTAAAAACAGAACTATCAAATTATTATTATTATTTTTTTTATGTAAGAATTGTAAAAGAAAAGATATTAAACCATCCTCTTTATAGTTTGTCCACATAACTAATTATTGGAATTGTGTTTTTTTTTTTTTTTAAATGCCTATCGAGCAGCGCTGTTGTAACAGGCTAAAAATGTCTTGATTAACGATTCCTTCTAACATTTTTTTTACAGATTTGGAAAAGGCAAGAGAGCAGTGACACAAACAACCACAAGGGGGTGTGATTGAGACAAGACTCCTCACTCTGGATGGCTCTTAGTTTTATCACTTTGGGGTTCAACTAAGTATTTTAGTGACATGGAGGGAAAAGGGATCAAAAGTGGCAGAAGAGCATCAGGACATTCTTTGAAGACCAAATGAAGCAAAGAAATGTAACAGCCTCTGTGTTTTTGCACCGCTCTGTTTTTACCATGTGGAAATTTCTTAATAAACCCACTCAAATGTGTGTTTGATGGTGAATTAGAGTACAATACAATGTTTAGTCACATTTTATTTATCTGTTGACATTTTGACATCCAGTTATCAACAGAAGAGCAGTGAAATGAGCTAAGCAGTCCTTCATTAGAATGGCTTTAGAAACATTGCAGGTTCTTGCTATGGCTGACAATCAGAAATTTCATTTTGTTCTTACATTAATGATCACAAAGCTAAGCTTATAGAGTAACACTTAAAAATACATACAGATTAATATGATTCCCATGCAAGTATAAAGATTTCTAAGAATTTTGCTAGAATAGAATAGGATAGTGCACCTGAATGACCTTGTAGGTAAACTGGAACAATCAATGAAACTTCATTTACAGAACATTTAACATTTTCAGTGCTTTACTTATTCAAGGCAGACCAAGTGCTGCTGTGTAGCTGTCGTGAAACTTACAAGGTTTTAATTCTTCCACATGTATTTCTCACAGAAGAGCTCGTTCTGTGGATAAAAAAAAAACGAAACCATGAAAAAATTATTTTCAGTAGCAGTATTGAAAAGGAATTCACTGACTTGGCTGATATGCCATATGAGCTAAAATATGTGCATACAACAGCTTGCACAATGAATGAGAATAAGGTCACACGTTTTGTCACTACAGGCTAATTTATTAACTCGTCCACAGCTGGGAACCTATATTGGACAAATTCAAACACTAAGACCAAAAACCCATACGGTTCTTGTTTTGAAAGAAGGAGAATGTTTCTCATGACCAGCAGCATGCACTGTCTAAAATGAGCTAATTCGGTTAATGGACTATAACTCTTTAAACATGTCCACGTTATTTATTTTTCATTTGAAACCTTTTGGTTTTCATTTCCCAAAATGAAAACGGCTGATGTTCAGGTTTACCAGCTGAATAATGAAAATGACTTGTACCTACCCCACACTCCTGAGCAGTGTTTACATTTTTGCACCAGTAGCTTGGTCCCCAGGTACAGGGATTTTTCCCCAGTGGCTCCAGCTTCTTTGATGGGACACACAGATCAGCTTTCTGCAGGACAGAAATAATCAGATAACATGAACCTGTAAAAAATATTTTTCAATATTATGAAAGTTCAAATATGTTCACGATAGACCACATTTGGTCCTTAAATATATAAAAAAAAAACCATGTCAGGGATAACAAAATCTTTCAAGATTTTACTCCTCTGATAATTTTTTAACAGATATGAACAAGTTTCTTTCTCATCTCTGTGAGGACAATACATTATGTTTATAACCATTTCTTATTCTTACTTCACAAACATGTGGGGCATCCATTTGGTTTCCCAACAGCTTCTGCAGCTGTGAGCCATAGACTCTGGTAAAAGCCTCACACTGTAAAGAGAGTTCAGATTTGTGAGTTTTTCCTATAAAAACACTGAAAGTAACTGGTGAAAACAAAAAAAAAAATTCATTAAAAAATGAATAACTTCAGGTATTAGTAATTGTCAGCTTAAGGTGAGACTCAGACCTTGGGGATGGCTTTTGGGTGCAGGGTGCACACAGACTGGAGGAAAGTTGATGTCTGAGTTTCGGTGGCGTTTAGGCCCAGGTGCAGATGGCTCAGTGCAGTAAGTGTCTGGCAGGATTCACAGTCAGAGATTGGGTCCAGCTCTGGGAAGAACAAATGCAAAAGTGATCCACTACAAAGTAGATCTGTTGTCAGAGCAACATGACTGCAAATCACGACTTCAGCCTACTTCATGTTGTCAGACAGGTTCTTATCAATAGTTTTTAGGCTCTGTTAGTCTATTAGGAAAGTGGTATTTGTGAATAAGAGGTGAGGGAACAGATTCCTTCATAACAGAAATCATTCTTTACCTCTGACCTACTTAAGTACTAAATGTCCAGTATTGATTTTTTTTTTCTCTCCATGTAAGCGACACCATGACCTCTGTGTGCTTGACTTCTATTCCTTTCTGGAAGGCTGTATCGTGGAGCTATTATTTTATTAACGCTATGATCTCTTTGTTTTTTTTATAACCCTTGCTCTCTTAGGCTCTGATTGCTACAACAGACCTAGAATGATCCCAGTTTAGGTTTCTTCCTATTAAAAAGGGAGTCTTTCTTCTCCGCTTTAACCACATGCTTGCTCAGGAGGGATTGCTGCAGTGTAAATAACTTAGATAACATTTGTTGCACTGTAGGTGTTATGTGATCAAAATTCTAAATACATTTCACAAGATTAAAAACGTTAAAAATTTGTTTAAAGGTATGAAGTCGATCATATGAAACTAATCAAATTGTCTCTTTGAGATGTGATATAAAAACAGTTTATAAAAACCAATCATTCTTGGTTCCAAAATACATCTAACTGACCTGGAGCAGGCTGCGTCTCAAACAAGCAAAGGTGCAAAAGCATACATATGGTGTGAGGCGCAGCTGATGCCAACAGGAATTCAACAATCTCCACCCCATATTTGTTTACAAAATCATCACATTGGTCCTTGTAGCTGGATGGTACCAGATCACAGACCTCTTCCATCAGCTTCTTTAAAGTTTCCTGCAGGTTAAGAGAGAGGATAATTGCTCTGCTGCCTTAAGTCAGGATGGTGGCTACTTTCAGAATAGTATAAAATTAAAGACACACTTCAGTCATATTTTTAGGCAGCAGCGTCTCCAGCTTCTTGATAACCATCAAACACACGGTGCAAATTGGGTTGAATACATCCTAGAAAGAGGAATAAGGTACAGATTGATCAGTTACTGTAAAAAAAATCAAGGTTTCACTTCTGCTCTCACTTTGTCATGTTCTGCTTTTTCATACTAACTTGGGTTTCAGCAGCAGTGCCGACTACAGAGCTGGACGTGTCTTTACTGAGGACATTTTGAGGGAACTCCTGCAGTTCCTTGTCCTTGTGGGTTGCACAAAGTCCAAAAACCTCACAGATCTCCTCTGGTTTCTGTATAAACAGGCGTTATCTTTAATATTATAAACCTTATGAAATATACATACAAAAACAGGTGTGAGGAGAAGTCAAACTCACCCACTGACTGGATGTTTGCTGCAGGATCTTAGGGAGATATATTTTCACTTGTGACTCACATTCTGATGCCTCTTCTTTGGGGAGACGCTGACACAAAGCATGCAAGGCTTTAAACACAGTCACCTGTGAAAGCATGACATATTTAATGGCAGAAGAGAATTCATGGTGCCTCCAAAATATATACATATATACCAAAGGAGCTTCTGTATTTTTTATAACTTTTACAACCTCCAAAAATAAAACACTTTATTTTATGATTGACAAAACTATTAATACAGATATCAGTTTTATATATAGCTGTAATAGTGTCTTCATTGGGATGTACAGTGTTCCTGTTATTAGAGTCTGTAAATAACTTGTTTTTCTAACATTGTCATAATAAAACCTGCAGGCTCATACCTTGGTGTCTCTGCTGAAGATCATGTTGGTGGAGAGCTGGATGATCTGACTGCATTCTGGACACATCCCGCGTGACTGGAAATAACAGGTAATTAGGAACAGAAGAGATATTATTATCATTATTATTATTAATTTCTAAATGTAAGACGCATCTTCTTACCAGATGAGTTTGTCCAGTGAACTGAAAAGGGTCGGCAATGAATCTGGAATCTCCTGCAGGGAGAATACACATTCATGATGCAGAAAATGGTGAGTTTTTTTTTTTTTTTTTTTTTGGAACTATATACTGTCAATAGGGAATTATTTATTATTCTAGCTGCTCGATAAACAGAAAGTAAATGGCGGCTTGTCGTTATGTCAGTGCACGGCAGACATTAAAATCTTACCGGAACACAGAGACGCAGCCAGAATCAGCAGCATAAACCCAGAGGCGGACATGATTGCAGCTTGACGGAGACTGACTGATGTTTTCTTTAGAAAAACAGCTGATTGTGTTCAGTCTGACCCGGAAATTCAGCCCGACAGCCTCATCCAATCAGCACGCGGAGCGTATGCGCACGCGCTAATCAATAATTACACAGTAATACACAGGGCAAACGCGGTTCTTTATTCTTTTTACAACTGTACAATAAATTGTGTCATGAACTCAAAACACATGTTATCAAAAATTATAATTTACCACATGATAAATCCGTAAAAGCCTTTTTGAGAGCATTTAATAAGAATGTATTTTTAAAGTACAAAATATGATCGATATCAATATGGTTTAATTAGTTTTGAGCTTGAATCCTTATTACTGTAATCATACCCTTAGCCTTATTACATTTGACTTTATTATCCTTTTACTACGAAGTTTATTTCTAAGAGCAAATAAAGAAATTTCTAATACAGATGGTGGCAGCAGTAATACTCTCAAGTTTTTCATATAGTAACGATTACTTGACAACAAAAAGCACTGTGGTTAATTACGCACATTAATATACTAACATTAAAGATGATAAGTACAGAATTCATGTTTTTTTTCAGAGCTAGATTTTGTGTTTTATGGGGTAAAGAGAAAATTATGCGTCTCTGCAAGTCATTTAGGAGTTTTTGTTGAAATCTTAGATAAATAAATATTTTAATAAAAACTTATTAAGCAATAAATTTATGTAGATATTAGTACTGGTAAATATCAATTTTATGCAGAATGATTATTGATGAAACTAGGTAATGGCAGAACTCAAACATGAAAGAATTTTACTCACTATACTTTTATCTTGAGAGCACAGATGTTTAAACATATGCGTCTATTTGTTTGCAAAGGCTGTAGGAAAGTATAATTGGTCTTCATTTAAAAAATATGGATGTTGTGCTTGTTAATTTTCCTTTTGGAACAGTGTAGATTGACCCTGAGGTTCTGGCGCCTATCCATTTTTGGCCACCCCTCAGTGTACATTGGCTATTACCTGGCCACCCTTATAAAAACTTTCTGGCTATGCTTCTATCTATTTGTAGTCCTACTGATTTTATGTTATCAATTTTCATGACATATTTACGGTAACTGAGCTAAAATTTAAGATTAAAAGTTGAAATGAAGGTGTTTACCTCA